ATTAATTAAAATAGTATTAAGTAAAGTTGTTTATATAGTATTTAACCATATATTTATCAATTTTTATCAATTTTTATTAATTCTTTATTAAGTTATAAATAAAAATATAATTGCAATTTTTTTTTTAACACACTATATATAAATATTGACTTTAAATAAGTTTGCTAAATAAGATTCAACTAGTTTAAATAAATAAATATATATATTATATATTAACTCTGTGAATATTCATTATTTGAAAGCTTATAATGTCTAAAATATTTTTTACAATTATATATAATAATAATAAATTATTCCTTATTAATATATAAAATAATTTTATTTATTTAATTATGATTTTTTTATAATTAAAAATTAATTTTATATATGTTTACTCTTAAGCATATTATAAATACTTATGAAATTTTTATAAATGATAAAAATCATATACCTTAAAGAAAATAAGAACATTTAAATATATTTTATTACATAAATTTTTTATAAATAATACGATCATATTTATAAAAATCACGTGATTTTGTATCAGATAATCGGATTGGTACGAGATTTTATCTACTGAAATAGTAATTTAGCTCATCTTTACTCTGTAAACAGCTATACGATGGCAACGCAGGCAGCACATGTGCGAAGAAAAGAGGGAGATAAAGGTGAAAAACTGTCTGAATCCAAAGAAACCACAGACTCTGTGCCTACAAAACAACAACAACGCACCTCACGAACAAAACCGCCTCAAAACAACTCTCTAAAAGGAAAAGTAAAAAAAAATGAAGGTTCTTTCCTTATTGATAACGAAAATTTTAACGAGACGGGTGCTCTGTCTAGTGTCAGCGAGAGTGTTTCCGTTGATTTCATTTCTCAAGCTTTAAATAAAGCTGCCGACGAGATTAGTGTTCAACCCGTAATTAGTCAAAGTATTGTCGATAATACACTTCCCGCCATTAATAGTGGTGGTTTTCTTCCGGTAACTCTTCCAGCCGGTAATAACGTTGTCGATATAACTTCACATGCCTATAACCCCAGTTTTATTAGTACAGTCGACAATAGTGTAGTTCTGACGACAAATATTGGTTCTGCTGATAGTTCGAAGGGTGTCCTTTCATATAGCAATTTTACAACTTTGAACACACAAGAAGCAGTGTCTCAATATAACAACACAGCAATCCCGCAAGAAATAACTCGCGTGACTCTGTCTAGTGTTCATAAAGTAGAAGGAAATAAGGACTTGACACCTATTAAGGCGATGTCAACATCATATATTCAAAACTACATCACCTCCGAGAATATAATAGAGAAAAATATCAGTCATGCTGATACTAGTGTATTTGACGTTCCCACAACTCAGATTAATGTGGATAAATTACCCAACAAGACCGATGAAATGATTATTAAAACTAATCCCATGATTAATGCAGGTTTACAAATCGAGGACGAAAACCAGTTGAATAATGGTAATGATGATATTCAAAAATACATCGTTCATTCTCGCGTAAAACTAATATACAATCTCACATTGCGACAAATAATTCAGAACGTGCTAGATCTTTTGCGTGTGAAGGAAGTTCATCGAATACTCATCTTGTTAATGTTGCGGGTCCGAGTGAAATTTCATCTAAATCATTTTCTAATCCGCAACCTCTAACTGAGAATCGGTCATCTACAAAAGGTAGCGGTCGAGGAAGACCGAAAAAGGCTGTTACTAAAAGTAATAATGAAGCCTCGACCGCGCCTAAGCCTGGCAGAGGAAGGCCAAGGAAAGTCAAACCAAGTGAAACATTAGCTGGTACTGCTGAAGAAATTACAACCGAGATAAAACCTGCTGGAAATGAAAGTTTTACGAACACGCATGAAAGTTTACCCGAAGTTCAAGGTTCTTCAGTCATCGTTGCAGATGAAAACATAACCAAAACCAATCCTGGTAAAAAAAGGGGAAGGCCACCCAAAATAACTCAGGTCGGAAACTCTGTTACCGGTCTTGCTGATGGATCCACAAGCAAACCTATTATTGTTCCTAAAAAGAGAGGCAGACCAAGAAAAGAAGCGGCTAACAACGGTGAATTGAATGCAAATCCTATGGAATCTACGATTCTTATTAAAACTGGCAAACGTGGAAGACCAAGAAAGGTCCCCAAAGTTGATTCTCATTTAAGCAAAGACTCGATCGTACCCACTAAACATAAAGGTAGAGGAAGACCGAGAAAGGTTTATAAACCTGGAGAAGCTAAGAACGAATCTACTGGTGTTGTAAAAAAACGTGGAAGACCGAGAAAGGTGTTAGTATCTGAAAACAGTGAGCCCAAAATATCTGAAAGTAATGAACCTAAAGATGTGCCCGAAAGTATTGAGCATAAGGATACGTCTGAAAATATTATGTCCAAAGATGTATCCGAAAATATTGAACCTAACGAGACAACTCAAAGTATTGATCCCAAAGATGCACCCGAAAACAGCGGACTCAATGACAAACCCGTTGATGCTACTATTGATGTTAAAATCAAAACCGGTAAACGAGGAAGGCCAAAGAAGACATCTACAGTTGAAGGAAATCAAGAAGGATCTATTAAAGAGCCCACCGTTCCTAAAAAACGTGGAAGACCTAAGAAGGAGAAATCTGAAAATAATGAAACAAAACCAGAAAAAGTTAAAGGTAAACGAGGAAGGCCAAAAAAAAAACAGAAAGTCGATGAACCTTCTGCTGGTTCCGATGAACCAGGTGCTGCCTTGGAATCTGTTGAGAGTCAACCAGCAATCAGCAATATTCAAGTCAACGCCACCACCGTTTCTGTGGTTAATGTCGATGGGGTAAATATGACTACCGGTGAAATTCCAACTGGTGGAACTGATGAAATTCCTGAAGAATCGATTGATGAATTGATCGATGAATTAACAACAGCAACTAATTGAAACATCAATTTTTTATAGTTAGCATATATACATCCTATGTAGGAAAAGCTCTACTACTAATTAGCTAACCATGTTTCATTGAATTGTATATAAGTATATTTTCATTTTAAGGGTTTACAATACATTTTCTGTATGCTTCGGTGTAATGAAACTCGCAAAAAAATAAAGTAAAAAAAAAAAAAAATAAATGTTTCATGAATTTTTCAATAGTTTTTTACGCCTTTTGAAAGTGTAAAATATCCGAACATTCAAATATCCCTTATTACGTGTTAAAAAGTTTTAATATTCAATTAGAAAGTGAGAGAATCGAGTTATATTTTGGCCTAGGAATCGGATCAAATTACAGAAACCTTGTAATAACCGTTATATAAATTTCCATAAATAATCCAAATTTTTTTATTTATTGGTTTTAATATAGGATTGTGATCTAATGATGTTTTTAAAATTAAAAAAATATATATTATTAAGCCTACTTTATTTATTAATAAATTTGCTAAAAAATTTTATCTTAAAAATTAATAATACATGTACATATTTTATTTAAACTTAATAAAATTTGAAAATAATTAAATCAATTCTTAAAATAATTTTAATTTATTAAAATTTTTTTATTATTTCTATTTAAATTTGTTTAAAACAAATATATTTACATATTTTTTTATTTTTAAATAATATTTACTATTTACAAATATTAAATAAAACAAATACATACTTTATTTGTAAATAGTTTAATAATTTTTTTTTAATTAATTAATTGATTTTTTTATTTTTGTTATTAAAGTTTTATTTTATGTATTTATTTATTTACAATTAGATTGAATTTATTTATTTATTTTTTTATAAAACCATTACAAGTATAAAAATATATACAATGTATAAATTTTTTTAATTCAGTTAATTTATTAATAGTTGAAATCTTTAAATACAATTTATAAAATAATATATTGCTTTTCTTAATAAATAAAATTAAGATTTAAATTTTTTAATAAGATTAAAACTTACAAATATATTTTTTTAATATTAAATAAGACATTTCTTATGATCTTTATTAATAAAATTAAGTTATTATATTAATATTAAGATATAAGATATGTTACTATACATATTAGCCTACTATTATATTAGATATATTTTTATAAAAAATCTTTAAAAAAAAAAAAAAAAAACCTATTTAATCTTAAGAAATTAATACAGTGGGTGAACAAAAGTTTATAGACAACTTTAAAAATTAAAAATTAAATTAAATTAATAAAAAATTAATTAAATAGAAAATATATTTAATTTCTTTAAAAACCAAACTTTTAAATAAAAAAATTTCAAAAAAAATTATGCAATAGTTTTTAAGAAAAAAATTTTAAAAATTTTTTCAAATTTCTTATTTAACGAGTATAATACAGTATGTAAAAAAAAAAATTAAAATTAAAAAATTTTAAATATCTAATTATATATTTTTTTATTATTAATTTATGTTCTATTAATTTATAGATATCTACTTAGCTAATTATTTTTTTTTTAATATTTTGTAGCCCCCTCTTTAGCCATGATACAAGTCATAATATAACATGGTATACTCTTGATCAATTGTTTGCAGTATACTGGATTGATCTTATTCTAACATTTTAAAATACAATTCTTAAGCTCTATTAAATTATTAGGTTTGGTCTCACGAATCCAAACTTTAATATAATGCCAGAGGTTTTCAATCGGATTAAGATTTGGACTTCGAGAAGGCCAATCCATAATCCAAATATTTTTATCAGCAAGAAACTTCTTCATAATTTTCACAGTGTGTGGCCTTGCATTATCATATTAAAACCAAGGGCAGCTACTATGATTCCAATTGGTTCCATCAAAATTTCAAAGGGTGGCAAAAGATAATCTTGGAAAATTGTGATATATGACTTTGTTATAAGGAAAAAAAGATAAGTTAAAAATTTTTTTTTTATTTAATAAGCATTTTATCTTATCTTTAACTGAGGTGTGAAGAGAAACAAGAGACCAACACTGAATCATGAAAAACACCCCAATGCATATGGCTTAGGCTATGGTTAACGGTAGCAGAAAGGTATTCAGCATTCCACTCTTCGTATAGACTACATCATATCAAACATGACATTTACTCTTTTGCTAAAATTGAGTAAACATAGACTCGTCACTTCAGACTACTTTTTTGAAGTCCCAAATGATTTAGTCTTTACGTGCAAGGCACCAGATAAGTTGGTCTTCAATATTTTTTTCTGAAAAGAAGGGCTTGGGGTGGGTGATACAACTTCTTAATTGTTCTTTATGCAAGGTTCGACGAATAGTTTTTTCGGATACTTGGATTTCCATTTTGACCATAAAAAGATTGGTTAGTTTTGTGACAGTAACAAATCTGTTACTCTTTTTGCTGGTAACAAGTTTTTTAGGTGGTACGAGTACACTTATTGAGAAGTCGTAGTCATTCCGATTGTTCCAATCGTTGTGTTCGCGATTCCATAGATCCAGTTTTAATAAAATGCTTTATAATGTTACCTACTACACTTTTTTTGCATTTGACATTGGCTGCAATATTACGATGGGTATCTTTTTTTTTGTAACCATAAATAATTGCCGCTTTTTGTTCAGAAGTTAATTTTTTATTAGCAGGCATTAGTGGTTACGTGAAAATTGAAGTGAAATTTTCAAGTAAATAAAAAAAATTTTTTTTTATATAATGATACATTTTTAAAAATTAAATATGTTGCATATATGTATTGAGTATATTTTTTATTAATAAAGTTTAATTGGTTTTTAAATAAAATTTTATTTAAAAAAAAAAAAAAGTTGTCTATAAACTTTTGTCCATCTTCTGTACTTCTTTAATAATTTATTCTATTTTGAAAAGATATAAAAAGATTTTAAGAGAATAGTTTAAATATTATATCAGTTAATTTGTTTTTAATAGTTGTTTGTTATTAGTTGTTAAATTTGTTTTTATGTTTTATTAGTTTTAATTAAGTTTTTTAAATATTTTGTTATTATTATTTTTTTTGTATTTAATATTTAATATGTTAAAAAATTATTTTTTTCAACTATATTTTTGTTTTTTGAAATCCAAATGTAAAAATAAATAAGTTTGAATATTTTATTTTGAATTGTGTTAAGAAATTTTAAGTCTTGTTAAGTTGATTTGATATTGTTAAAAAGATTCTAAGTTGAAGTATATTTGTTAAGAAATTAATTAAATTGAAAAAACTATTAATTATTTTTTAAATTAAATTAAAGTTAAGATTTTTATTGTTTTTAAAATTTTTTATAATTAGTATTTAAGTATTATTCAATATTTTTTTAATTATAAATAAAAATAAGTTTCTAAACTAAGAATAAGAATATAACTCAAATGTTTTTTACTATTAAAAAAGTTTTTTTTAAATATAATAACAAAAAAAAACTACTTATAAAAGTTTTTTGCAATTTAGGCTATTGAATTCAAATATTTTTTAAGTTTTATTTCTATTAAAATAATATTCTTTTCAAAAGATATATAATTGATTTGCAAAATTTTATATGCTAAACAATTTAGAAACTTATATTTAATTATAAATATATTTTTATTGCAAAGCTAAAAGTAATATATTATTTGTATATATTTGTAATAATATAATATATAGATAGAAGTTAATTAGAAATATAATAGAAAAAATTTTTAAGCAAAAATTATATATTTTGAATTAGTATTGAATAATTGAAATTGATATGTTTTTTGAAAATAGAAGAGTATTTGTAAAAAAAAACAAAGATCTGATTTAAATAGGGTTCCTAATGGTACCATTTTGATACTAAGTTGATACTGGATTTATTATGAGTTTAATATAATGGGTTATAACCCATATATTAATTTTATTAAAAGTCAGGATCAAGTTGGTACTATACATGTTTCCTTATTACTATAAAAGGAAATTTGATTGACAATATGATTCTGAATTAAATATGATTTTCAATTATTTATTAATTATTATTTAGTAATACAAACATAATACGGGTTTTGAAAAATATTTGAATTAAATATGAACACATATATAATCAGTACCATTTCGGTATTCAGTTCAGAATCCTAGATTTAAAGATTGTTTTTACTTATTTGGAGAAAATTTTTTCTATATATTGAATAATTTTATTTATTTGTTTTAAATAATAATATATTGAGAGAATAAATTATTTATTATAGTTAATAAGTATATATTGGATTGATAAGATATTAAAAATATAAATTTAAAAATAATAAAAATTTGTTAATTAGATTTTTTGAATTGTAAAGATAAATTTGTAAAAGTTATAAAAGATTTAAGTTTGAATTATATTATAAATATTTAAGATAATAATAAAATATATAATTTTATAATTTTTTGTAATTTATAAATAGCAAAAAAACTATTTTGTTGATACTCTAATAGCTCCAATCTTCAAATTCATTCAAGAGTTAACTAAAATCCTGAAAGAAAAAGAAAGAAAGGACATATTAGCTCTTCAACTCAAGGAAACAGCCAGTTCCTTAAAAAAGATATATCTCAATGAAGAAAGAAGTAGAACCAACACAAAAATCAAACAAGCAATTCAAGAAAAATATAGAAATTTCAAAGAGAACTAAAGAAAAGTAGTACAAGGCCTGACAAACAACTTCCAAAACAAAATAACCATAGATAAAATTTGTATTCAAGATGAGCTAGGAAGACAATACATATCAGTAAACAAAGAAAAAATTCTACATCAGACTGAAAAATATTACAAAAAGCTTTTAAAAAAAGAGATAATAACTTTGAGCTACTGGATGAAAAATGGAAAAAACAATATGTACCAAAAGCTAAAATAAAAAGAAATAGTACAATGAAATTATGAATACCATTTCCAAAAATGAGTTGAAAGAAGTATTAAAAGACCTTTCCAATAACAAAGTAGCAAGACCTAACAAGATCAAATACGAAATGCTCAAAAAACTAAAAACAGAAAAGAAAAAAATACTATATCAATCATGGTACTAC